AAGATGGTGAACAGCTTGGGGCAGGGGAGTGGAAAGGATAAAGTGCCAGTGCCTTGCTGGATGTCACTGGGAAGGGGTGCACACAGAGCTTAAGGGAAGGGGCTGTGATATGCTCCGACATGTCATAGGTGACATGTGATGTGGGCAAGGAGACAAGGGAGGGCATGAAAAACAGCTGCAAAAAGTCTTGGGAGTCCTTGGATATTGTAAGAGAATTCTCACCCGCAAATTTTAATAAAGGTCAGTGTCTTGTCATTTAACCCCACTCCAAGTATAGATGTCACTACCACTTGGTACTGAAGAGAGAAATATAGCAAAGTTCTAATGCTCTAATTAAGAGAGTACTTTTCTAGCAACGCTAAAACAGCTTCCTTACTTTTCTTTCTTTATTGGTTAATAATTGTGACATTTTTCTTGGCTTTAACTGTGTGTTCCTGAAGGCATGTTAGAGACCCCCCTGTGATCACAGCAATGGGAATCATGTTGCTGAAGTGATGGCAACAGAGACACTTATTAAAATCTGGCCCCTGCTGTTTGTAGTTTCCCAAAACTACACTTTGTCAAAGTTTAAAATAGAATTACATGATGCCTGGCAACTAGAAATTATGCTGTAGCCAGAGTGTTGGGTGAGAATTAGAGAAGCAAGTATGGATGGTCATAACATCTGAAAACAGAAGTGATGGTGGATCACCTGATGGTTCATTTAATAGATCATTGGTTTTGTGGCTGGTGTAAAGCAGATCTCTTGGCATGCTGTGTACACAAAAAGGTCACATTTTGCAGTGTGTGGTTTGAATGTTTGCAAGGCTTTTGCGATGTCTATCTGCTGTTCTCAAGTCTCAGGTGAAAATATGAGGCTGCTTTCTTTAAGTCTGTCCACCTGAACAGTATTTTAAAGAAATACTTGACATTACATGTATCAGAAGAGAATAAAATTGCTATTTGACTGTAACTGGTTTACGCTGTCTCTTGAATCAGCAGCTTTTGTTTGTCTTGTAACTTACACAGCAATTCTGTTTTCACCTCTAGTGTTTATATCCCTTTCCCTTTCAGGCAACTGCAAAAGCCAGAAAATAGCCTTTGTGAAAATGCTGCTGAGATTTAGAGCACCAAAGCAATCTCATTATCAGTTTACATCCCCAGTAGGAAATCAGAGATTGTTCAGCACATCAAACAGTGGAGTGGGGGCATGTAATGTGCAGCCCAAGGGCCAGATGGGACCTGCTGAGTCACACAATGTGATCTCCAGCTGCCCTCTGCCTGTATCTGAGGGATGGGGACAGAGCAGCAGAGCTGCTGCCTGGGGCTGCTAATGAGCTTGACCCACCAGACACTATTTTCCATCTGCATGCCAAATATGGTTATATGCACTCAGAATAAATGTCTAATGTTTATATACAAACTGCTGGTGGCCCTTGGGCTCCTCACAAGGAACCTGTATAAACTTCAGGACTGCAGAAGGGAATCCTCTTGGTAGTGCTGAGATGAGGGCATGGAGCTAGGGGCTGTCCTGCAGTGTGAGCCTGGGCTGCTCTTTGCTTAACAGCAATGGAGAAGGACTAATAGAGACCCCTTTAGGTCATCTTTCATGCTCAGCTCTTGGTACATGAGCAAGAAGGGAGGCAAAGAATATTTTCACTGCCTCAACCCTTTGATTTCATGATGTACATGTAAAGCCCCCTCTGCATCACCGAGGTCTTCATGATGGATCTGTAAACGACATTACACTTGTCGAGTTTTTATGCTGTGGAAAGAATTTTAATTCTTTTAATTACTGTCTGAGTTACTGGGAAATATACTCAGAATCTTTTATTAGTGCATCCAGCTGTGCAAATGAAATATATAATCAATATAAAATGGTTTTGTCATACCCTGTTTGAACAACGATCTATGATAGTTCAAAATTCAGAGGGCTCTTCTGTGATAAAGTTCTATTAATGCTTTCATTAAGAAGAAATTACATTACAATGTCTGTGGGGCTTACTTCTGTGAAAGGACAATCTCTTTGTTGGTAATTTCATCTCAATGTTACTCCCTTCTATTCAGCTTTCCAAAATGACATTTTTCTAAAAATCAGCACTAATGCAGTAGTTAATCTTTCTCAATATTATTTAAGAAGATAATTCAGATATACAGTCACACAAATAATTAAACCTTGAAAGTCTCCGTTTTACCTGTTGCTGCAAAAGTACAGCACAACTTCCACCATACTCTTTATTTCCCAGATGGTACTTTTAAAATGGGAATAATGACCTTGAAATTATACAAGAGGGCTGGTTGGCTGATATACAGAATGTGAAGATTATTTTTCATATGGAAAGGAAGCACATAAAGATATTGTCAAAGCATTTGTACCAATCTCATTTACTTTTATCAAGGGACAGGATTCTAATGTCTTTTATATTATTTCTTTTATGATAAAACTAATATTGAACAAGATATAAGGGAGGGGTTACATGACTGAAAGGTGCACAAATAGTTTCCTCAAGATAGCACTCAATTTTCATTTTTTAAATTTATGTATCATCACAAAAAAGTCACAAAAGAAATGTCTTCTGTCTTTTTGGGGGATAAAATCTGTGTGACCCCTCATGCAAATTATGTCTTTGCCTGGGGAAAGCAAAGTGTCTGTGTTGTGCTGTAATCCATTGGGGAATTATGAATGACAGGTAATGGAAACTGAACTTCTACAGTGTAAAACATAGGGAATATGCATCAGGCCTGACTTGCAGCATCACTTCAAAAATGAGGTGAAAGTGCAGGGGTTTTGGTGTCCTGGCAGATTTTATTGCCATAAATCACTTCTTCAGCGTCTCCCAAAAGTGCAATGTTCTCGAAAATGGACACCTAAGAAATGATTAATTAATGTTATGTCTTAGTTGAGTCTCTATTTATGAGGTTAAGGTGGTTTATTTGCTAGCTGTTGTTGACAGTCATGGGGGATAAAAACCTTCAATGTCTTTCATATGAAAGCTGAACGTCTTATCCAGTTACTTGATTCTAGGAGCTCTGATCAACTGTAGGGAGACATTTAATAACCAGATCTCTAGAACAGATATGGCTGCTTCTGTTACAGGATTTTCAGTGAGAATGGAAGTAGTTCTGGTGTATTACGACCAGTGAACGAGAGCAGATTCTATGTTGTCCTAAATCCATTTTGATCTGCTCACAACAATAGACTGTAATGCCCTATGAGTGAATGAGCTGGGGATTTCTTTCCTCTAGATAAATCCTAGCATCACAGATGGGTGTTGATACTGAAATTGGTCAGATAGAAACTTTCTAACACAGTTTTGTTTAGCAGAAAGCAGATATTCTTTATTGCAGTGTGCTGGGCACTCGGGGGATGCTTCCTCTAATCGAGCGTGCCGAACACCCGGTAAGAAGTTTTTATCATTCCCACAGGAGACTTCAAATGAGCATCCTAGAAATGTCCTCTAATAAATTTCACATGGTTGCAAGCTACAGAAGACCAGGCAGCCAGGGAATCATACTGTTCCTGAATGGCTATGTACCACCACCTATAATTAAAAGTCTGGTAGGAAAGTATCATGCCACTGAAATTTTCTGGTCTAAGCATGCAGTTTGCAGTATACAGAGAGGTGAGATGGCCAGCTTGCTGCCATCAGTTCACTACTTTCACTCACATTCTTAAAAATTTGAAGTTCACTGCATAGATCTGAGTTTATTTCAAGAGGCAGAAAAAAAATCAGCGAAACATAAAAGCCTCAAGTATCTGCATATCAACCACACAACAGCACAGTGCAAAAAAGCAGCAAAATATTTTATTAATATTTCAGTAAGTTCTTGCTCTAGTGCTCTATGAGACTATCCTTTATCTAACCTTTATTGATGTCAGAGCAATCTTGAGAAGTGGTGAATATAAGAGGATGCATTTTCATTGTGTTCAGCAATCGTGGAAGTCACAGGATGAAGGTAAGTATTAGGAATTGGTATAATCTGAAAGCCACTCAAATTAAAAATAGGGAATGTGTATTTTTGTAGATGATCATGCCAGGAAAATAGCATTGGTAAATTAATATCTGTCCCTGAATAAAGAAGACTCTTTGAAAGCAAAAATAGATATAGCAAAGCAATGAATACAATGAAGACATCAAAAGAACACAACAAGAATGATTACATCAAATCGAAAAGAGTTTAAATATTTTAAGGTGCAAGGCAGATCAAAGGCTTTTAAAGGCATCAAAATTGTGAAGCCTGTGAGGAAATTAAGATGCTAAGAAGCAAAGATTAGCTAGTGAAAATGTACATACCGCCATTTAAAGTGGAAAATTAAATAGTATTCTAGGGTAAGCCAAAATATTTAGTATTAATAATCCTTTCATCTTTCATTAGGTGAAATTAAAATACACATAACACCTGAAAATTCATTATATTATTGAATTTGCAATCATGGTTATTCAGAATAAAAATACTAACTTGTAATTACCTAAACTTCCTTGAATGTGAAATGAAAGTAATGGAGAAAATGAAATCAAGGACAGAATAAACAGTGAGAAAGCATCTGAACTGGATTCAGGAGAGTGGAATTAAGGATTTACTGGAAAATTTATATTTATGCCAGTGCTGGAGCTAGCACAATTGGAACTAGGCTAGAGGAATATTTTATGATGTAAATCATAGTGGTGAAAAAATCCACATTAGGAACAATCTGTTCTGTGAAAATATTTTGGTTCACTGAGGTGATTTTACAAAATTTGGTTTTATAAAATTGTCATTTTTCCCTTGCTTCTTCTTACTTCAGTATAGACCTAAGCACTGTTCATCCAGAAAATAAGATATACAAATATACAAATATTTACTTGGGAAGGTGTTTATAACACACAATTTGCCATTTATTTTTGTGTCCACAGCTCCAAACCCAGAAATTAGAAAACAAAGGGATAGACTTTTAAGCCTATAAAGTAAGGTTAATGTGACATTTTTTCTGTTGGGTTTTCCAGCCTAAGCTTCCAAACCATTCTCTTGTCCAGTCCCCAGGAACATGTTGTTTGAGGGTCTTGAAGGCATCTCTCAGTTCCTTTGAACCTGGGTCACGACAGGATCCTGCTTCATATTTGTCACTGAGACAGTAGGTTTGGATTCCACATTTCTCTTTCCTTCTTGGCACCCTCTCTTTTGCTTCACTGTGCATGTGGGTGCCCAACATGAGACAGAACTGAATTCTGCAAGGACAGCTACACAGTCAGTGTAACTCATCAAACAAACTGGGGGAGGGGGACACATGCCATGGAGGAGGGAGGTTATTTATTTTTTTTTCTCTTTTAAAGGTATCAAGAGTGCAGGTGTGTTCTACAGACCAAGAAACCTGAAATAGAGGGACCTGAAAGCCACCTGTAGAGGCTGATGCTGTCTATAATGCTCTATTGGATAGTAAACAGATTATAACTCCGCAATTCCAACAAAGAAACACAAGCAGTATGAGGGTACAGTCTGTATCCGTTTGTCCTTTATCACTAATGAAATCAAATAATGCATATGGGACCACATGTTTGAAGAATAAATACACAATTAAATTCTTAACAGTGTGAAGATTAAGACAATACATTTTTTTTCTAAAGCTTTCATCCAGGGAAAAAGAGCTGCCTGCTTGCTTCAAGTAAAATTAGCTGGAAAAATCCTATCATATACCTAGAATAAAGTCTGAGAGGCAACAGGCAAATATTTTAATGTGGAAAGATTTTTATTGGTTTTAATTAAGCAACAGCATTTTTGTTGAATGTCTTTAATCTTTAATTACCACCCAAAAGCACTGAACATGACATGAGTTATTTATTGAGTCACTGAGAAATTCATTCCAAGATTTTCTTATGAATACTTCATATAGAAAAAAAAGTGATTTTTTAGAAATGTGAGTGTTTCAGGGTCCTGATTTGAACCACAAAAAAGGCAATTGAAGGAATCCCAGGGTCTTCCATGGGAGCTGGCTCATGTTTGTAATGAGTTTTAGAGCTTATAGTAACTAGAAAAGTGTTTTTTTATGACTGAAAATGTCCCAAAAAATCAAAATCTGTCACCAAAGAGCAGTATTGAGTGTGTGTTTAGGGGGCTTTCATGATTCATATAGGGACTAGATTAAGGGTGATGAGAGCCCAGAGCTGAGTAGAGTTACTGCTCAGGCAGCTGAGAGCAGCCTCGGGGTGATGTTGGTGCTGGGGACTTTGTGCACCATCCACAGTTTTCCAGGTGGTCTCCTCCAAAACAGTTGTCAGTGTGCTCAAGCTGTCTCTGTCATCCCTTGTCTGTGAATATCCTTTCTGATAAAATATAAACTTTTTATCTGTAGGACGGGGAATTTATTCTGTAATCAACTGTTTCTACTTCTGTTGGCATAAAACCAGGTTGTAGTCCCTCTAAGCCGAAAATCTGCCAACTGGGAAGTTATAATAGGAAAAAAACAGCTGCTGTTTTTCATCCTAGAATCCTGGGCATACTGTGGAGTCCAAACTGTGATCTTAAGTTTTCCTTTCCCGGCAGAAAGCTTAAAGATGCGTGAAAGTGCCAATACTCCCTGATCACCAGAGAGATCACACCTCAGGGCTTCTTTAGGACTCAAAGATACCTCTCTGTGTGCTCCAGGTATGCAATTTTAGCCTCTAGACAGTGTTTACCTCACGTGGGAACAATCATCAGTCAGAAAGGAGGAACTTTACCCACGCTCCACTGAAGTGTGGCTTTCTTTATTTAGAACCTGTCTACCGAGTTTTCAGGAAAGAATTAAAAAATGTTTAAGACTTGATGAACACAGGACATGCAACATTTCAGAGGTGAGAAACTTATCTCTATAACTACAGGGCTTGTTCTAGGGAGGGTTTGCATCTAACCCTCCCTGCTGGTGTCTGTAACACATCTGATAAACCTGACATGTTAAGCCAAACTCTAGCTAGTCTATTTTGTGAAGAAAACCACCTTATGAAAAGCCTTAAAAAAAAAATACCTAGTTCTGTTTAACATCCTTCATCATTTTCAAGCAGTGACTCCTGCAGAACAGAAACAATAAAGTTTGGCTTTTTTTTTTTAGTTATTAAAAATCTGCTATATAAAAGCTTTCAATGGGTTTTGAACTCTTTGGCTCTACTTTGGTTCAGGATTTTCATCTTCTTACAAGATTAGGTCCAAAGTATAAGATTAAGCACTGCATCTGTGCCTGCTTCATTTAAAGTTAAAATAAAAAGAACCACCTAGAAATTCTGATAACACTAGCACAGGGGAGACCAAGATGGAAGCATTACCTTGGACTGCTTGTGCCTTGTGCTGCTGAAGATACCAAGTTCCTATTTTAAGTGATAATATGCCATTTTTTACCTTCCATGGGGAAAATGTTGCCACATTGCTGTGTGAGTAGCTTGTCCCCAACCAATTTCCAGAACAATGTCTCTCATCTGCCTGTGGAAGTTTCCTCCCATCGAAATTCAGAATGAAGTTTACTGCAGGAATGATATCTATGGTCTGATTGCTTGTCCACTGAAATTAAATGATAGCCCTCTATACAGTTCATTATGCATGAAATTAAGATAGAATCCAGGAAAGATAATGGAGTTTCAAATGTGTGGAAGAGCTGGGGAGTGGGAACCCAAGGTAGAGAATATTGTGGTGAGAATTTGGGAAACAAAGAGTGTGCCCATACAGCCTTTTGCAGTGAGAGACAAGTTTTTGTGCCTCGTTTCTAAATTGGCCAGGCATTGCATTCAGTGTGTGTCATTATGCTCCAGCTAATAGATCCTACTGCAAAATAGATGAGAGCTAATTGGGCAGGGTATCTTAGATCAGATAAAACAGGTCTGGGACCTTGGGAACTTAGCTTATCAAAACAATGGGCTCAAGATAACAGGGTGTAAGGTTTTAAGAAGTTCTAGAAAATAAAGTGAAAATGGAATTAAGCACTGTTATATAGTCAGGAATTCTAAACTGAAGTATTTCTGACATTAATCAGAATCACATAATCTCAGTGCTTAAGTTTTCAGTATAACCTTCATCTTTAGGACTGGTTGTACAAATACTTACACATATGTCCCTATCTTGGTTTGAAACATTGAAGAAGAACACTCTGTAACTTTTAAAGTAAAAAGCAGATTTATAGGGTATCATATAATTCAGGATGGCAAGTATATGACAATGGACATATGACAAGTATATGACAGATGGGAGCACTGTAAAATCTGCCTTTATCATCATTTCACTCTCTCGTGCTATGGAACTGCTTGGTTTTATTTCCTCTGCATGGCACAATTAATTTAATTTCCAGGAGTCTTCTGCTTACACATAGTGGCTCCTTTTTCATGAAGCAGAGATAGAGAATTTCACTGGAGAGAGACATACATGGCTTTTTACCAAGAAATTTAGTTTTGTCCTTAAGTTTTAGGATGGTTATGATTAAAAGAACACACTTCTCCCTTATGTACAAAAACTGTCTTTATAGAAATATACACATATATGAATTTTACAGGGGGTAATCAATAAGAAGTACAAAAATTAATTGCTCAAAACACTCTAATTGGTTATCCCAAGAAAGATGGTTAATCTTTGATTAGATTTCCTACTCATGATTTAGAAAAGGGACTACATACTTCATGATATATAGGATGAATCTATATTTAGGTTTTTTAAACATTAGCTCTATTTCTGAAATTTTAAATGTGGTCTTAGATCCTTTGAGGAGTAGTTTAATAAAGATAACCTCCTCATGTGTCTTTCAAATCTAAATATTGATGAGTAGTGCTCTCAGTCATTTCGACATGAATATTCCTAACCTATGAAAGATAACGATAGAAATGCCATTCTACATCTAAATAAAGATAGCAGCTTTGCCAAAGTCCACAAGGAGATTTAAAAAATACATTTTTCAAAAATAGCAGTACTATATACATATACTTTTATTACTGTATATTTGAATCTTAATACACAATATTGCATATTATTTTATTATGGTCTCAGATTTCCACTGTAACTAAGTTATGAATATGTTCTTGGACTTTGGTCTGTAATACAGCTTATGCAGTGCAACACTCAGGAGTAGTATTCACATGAAATATTGATAGTTCTGGTATTCACCAGTCAAATATTCATAGGATGATGTCTCTATCTGTACACCAGGTGCTTACTTAATGGCAGAAAAGGGGTGGTCAGTACCAAGTTAAAGGCAATGTCGATTTTTAATTTTCAACCACTTGTCCATTTAGCACCCAACTATTGAGGAGCTGGATGTTTGCCACAGTCTCTTACATTCCTATCAGAAATATGCCTTGGGGCTGATAGGGTCTAAAAAAAACAAAAGAGTTTTCTGTAACATATGTATTAGAAATGTATCTCCTTTTCTAATTTTTTCTCTCTCCTTTGGGGCATGTTTGCCATGAGCTCTGAATTCTGTTGTTTCCACTTCAACATCTTCATTACGTGTTCTTGTTTGAGCGCCTTCTGTGCTGAGTCTGGGAGCATGACTGCTTGGGAGATTTATATATTCTAGAGTCTCCCTTCAGCTGCCATCATGTTAGTGGCTGCAAGAAAAAGCCTGCTGGGCTGCTGGGTGTAGTGACATTTTAGGTTATTTGGCAATAGTCACCACACCATTCCTATTTCTTATTCAGGAGCTGCAAAAACCTAATTAATTCAAAGGGTGCTCTTATGGGGGTTTGCCCCAAAATCTTATTTGTTCTGTGGATCTCTATGCAAAATAGCAGTTTTGGATCCAAGATTGGGAATTGTGTTAGAGAATGAATTCTGCCAAGGAAAATGCCGCCTGGCCATTGCAATAACATTTATAGAAAAGAGATTACAATTTCCAGACAGTGTTCCCCCTGACTCCCCAACTTAGCACAGTGGCACCTCTGTGAGACAAAAAAACCTGCAGTTTTCTCTCCCAGGGTCATTCAGGGAGTGAGTGCTGAAAATGGAACATAACTCTTCTAAGGCTAGAAGTCAATACACTCACTGTTGCTCAAATGGTGCTGGGAGGATACTGCCTGGTCCTGGGACACCCAGGAATAGTTAAGGAGACAGAAAGCTTAGGCTCTTGTTTTTACAACAGGGATAAAATGGCCTCCAAGGTGCTGTTAAAAAGATCCTCCTGAAAAGTTCACATTTCATAAGATTTATATACGTATTGGCTTATTCAGAACTTTAATTAAAAATTTTAGAAGGTCCTTTAGTTCATTAACTGAAGATGTTTCCCCTGTAAATGAGAGATTAATTTATGCCTGTTTTTAATTGTTGGATGCCACCACAATTGGTGCTGCATAAAAATACATACAGTACATAAAATATTAATTAAAACAACTGAATAATTATAACCACATCAGCCTAAAGGCAGCAGGCATTTTAATATCGGAGTCTGGTAATGGTGCATGAATTTAGAAGGATTAATTTTTCTGAGACAGTTCAGAAGTATTTAGCCTTTATTCTGCCCTTATTTAAAATGCCTCATATAATACATCTCAGTATTTTACATAATTTAAACTTTCATAAGACATTTCATTCTCACTCTGTAAGGTTCTTCAACATACTGAAACACTGCTAAGATCTTAAGT